GTATAATCCACACAAAAATGTGACGCATGAAAACAAGTCACAATGAAGAAGAGTTTCGCAGTTAAAGGATGTTTGTATGAGGGTACAAAAATTGGAACCGGCAGTGTAATCTGTCTGAACAATTGGAATGAACATCATTCAGTGGCAGTCAAGTCAGAAGGCAATTGCACTTAGAAGAATCATTCTAACTGGGATCTCTGAGTACGTGTGTGCATACACACAGCTACGCTGTGGAGTACGCTGGATTCGTCTAACAAGGCCAAACATAAAATCCGTGTTGTTAGGCGATCCGGTGATGTTGGGCCGAAACGATTTGTCCGATGAGAATCAAGTGGCAAAAAGACCGGTAGAAAGCAAGAACGTGCCGAACTAAGTGCCGTCACGGGAGAAGACATCAAATCGCGGAAGGCGTTCGTAGAATAGTATGTAGGCCGCGCTGCTCTGTGGAAAAAAAGTGGGACAGTTAGATAATTAACATCAGAACGGGAAAAATATAGATATGAATGCCGCCAATCCTCTCAGCGAAACGGTTTAAAATAAAAGACGTGAGGTCACCCGTTCCGACGTATAACAAATTAGTGCTAATTAGCAGATACGAGACAAGCATACAAGCGGATGTCGGCGAAATAACCATGATAAGTGTGTATGTGCAAGTAGTGATGCTAAGGCCATACATGGAACAGTTGTCGATGTGTCGGGTGCGTGAGCTGGTGGTTGAACAATCGGAAGGCCCGTGGTTCGAACCCAACATCCGAATCGCGACTGCTCATGTCTAGGCTTGGATAACCTTGCAGTGTCTCAGCGCTCGGGTTGAATGGCAGCTAGGAACCGGAAAGGTGTTACAGCTAGAGGATTATTTAATTATTGTACTTATTCTAACTACCAACAAAACTAAATATTTATGACACAATTGCAACACCAACGCACGGAGCCAAATTGAGACAAACAGGCCCGGGTTATACGTCGGTGAGGATCAATTAAAGTTACTCGCACAGAAAATCGTTGTACAACGGTGATGTTGAACTGATCAGTCCTAGTTTCGGATTCGGTTCTCAAGAATGATGGGTCAGAATATGTTAAATTGTCCTTATTAATCCGAAAAATTTTTGCGAAAAAAATAACCTGTATATGGCGTTCTCGTTTCGCAGCCAGGTGTTCTCAGAAGGCTTACTTCTTTCAACAATAATCAGAATGGTTAAGATAAGCCACCAGGTGTGGGGCTGGTGTTTACTATATAGGGATCACATACACAGTCTGGTTGTTGGCAGTATGAGGAGACTAGGGGATTTTCCGCGGAGATTTTGTCCCGCAAGTGGAGCCAACGTGTGTAGAAACGTCGAGAAACACCATACGCCAGTGGCACCCTTATTGGGATTCACCAGATGCTGTGGCCGAACAGTTAAGTGATCAAACTACCAGCTGCGAGGTCGCGGGTTTGGCAGTTCCTAAAGTCTCGTTAGGTGCACACTGTTGAGAATAAAACAGCTGAGATCTTCAGCATAGATCGGCTTCACTCGGAGGACGATTACTCCACCAAAAAACGACTCGGTTTTCGTGTAAAATACGAATCGGCTGACCACTTTCGTTAGAAGAAAGCACAACTTTCCTGGACTTACTTGAATACGTGATTCGGGAATTCGAGTTACTGCGCTGTCATCGTACTCGTACCAGAAACCATCAGAGATGCCACGACAAAATGCAGTGTCTTTAAAAAGGATAAAACGTACGGGATTAGGTGTTATCACGAGGCACAGATGCGCAGAAACAGCCAGGAACACGCACAAAAGATAGCGAATTCGGATACAACTGACACTCTGCTGAACTAATAAGCATAGGAAATGAGCTGGCGCATGAATTATGGATTACCGACAAAAGGCACTCATAGCGTACTGTCCAAGTGTGTGTGTGTGTGTGGAAGGGGAGGCGGGCATATGGAACTTAATGTACGTTGATAGTAGAAAGTAGAGACGTTGAAGAAAAACTTACAATGTCCACTTTCCATTGTCCCAAAGTGGTTCTAAAATAAACGTTGAAATGCGAAAGACTCAAACGCAAAGCGAATACGAAAACTACGTGGGCCATCGACGGATTTTCAGGAACGTTATGAGTAGTACATTACAAATAACCATGAAATTAGCTTGAACATTCTAATGGATACGCGAGGCTCAATAAAGTTCAATTGAAAGCCCCAATTCACAAGCTAGATAGGATTTCTATAAAAGGAGCGGATGTAACAAAGATATCTGTTATCCAGAATCTGGTAAACCGAGACAAAATATGTGAATTTTTCAGTTCACTGCTGATGAAAGAAAAGAAGCCTCTCAGCTATAGCACCCCTTCCGGTGCCTGGCTGCCATGCTACCCGAAGGAAGCACGAGAACTGAGATAATATCGGGTTGCCCAAACCTAGACAGGGGAAGTCGAAAGGCAAAGGTCAGATAGGAACCACGGCTCTTCCGGGTCAGCACATCGCCCTCTAACCACTTGGGCCATCTCGCCCATGAAAGATTAACGAATACTGCAGGGGCTCGCGCGTCGATGTTGCGCCTCACTGGCTTCGAGTGATGCGCGACTAGTCGTACTACTGACACCGCCGTGATTTAGAAAAAAATACAAGCAAAATGATTTCTAAAAAAACTTGAAATAATTGGACAGGCCCCAACATACAAACGGCAATCAATGGGGAGATTACAGAAAACCTATCTATTGCTGAAGACAATGTGACCGTAAGATCGGGAAATTACGCGAAAATGGCGCGGCCAAACGGTGATCTAGACTAGGACCAGACCAAGGTGGGAACACAGCAGTAAATGATTTGTAGAATCGGAAGAACGAAGCGGTCCAAGTAGACATCAACAACTCTTCTACTCCCAGCCCTCTCAGACATTCAGCGAGTCAACCTAAGTCGCCATTGCTTTGACAACAAAACACAGACGTCCACGTAGAATTCGTGAGATTGGACGTAAGGTTTCC